TTTAATGTGGAGAAAAACACAACGATGAAGAAGGCGGGAAGAATTAATTCAATGGGTTCGTATTGATCGGATCGCATGGTTCAGCCTTGCAGGCTTGGTCGCACTTATGTAACGTTTTCTTTGTCCATATTAAATATATTGTTCTATCTCCAGTCTAAATGTGTCCTACACCATAGATTGATGATTGTTACAACACGAATTTGGGTAGACGATGATGTGACTTCCATGTAATATCTTATAAATTAGGCAGTTGCACCATGACAAATCTAAATTTTTTGGATTAGGTCTATTATTATACTAGTACTGATATCACAGTAGACCACAATTCTACAAAAATACAGCCCATTTCAGAAGTTTTCTTGGTTTTCTTTTTGAAAGTGGATTGTGTCACCTATCGAATATTAACGTGTTTGATTATAATTTAAACAAACACGGTTCGTTATCTATCTAATTGACTGTTACGGGAGAACTGAAGACATTTGTCTGATTTAAACCTATTTTTGTATATAAATAATTTTACTGTTTTTTTGGACGTAACTGTTTTACTTAACTTTTGAACTTTTTTTATATCATTAATATCGGACATTTTGGTTTCTCTTTGTCATTAGTTTGGTATTAGGGAGCTTTTGTTCCAGGAACCTACAAAGTTGAATGTTTGTTTTGTAATTGTTGTTAGAACGACATTTGGGTCGACTATTTGTAAATCGCGAATAAACATTGGTATCTAATTGGAATTTGGTTCTATTATTAATTTGGGTTCGTGAATTGAAAATTGATTATACATACCGTACTTCAATAAAGGGAACGAGCAAAAACTTGGACGTGACATTGACTGAAAAGCAAAGTAAAACCTTTGAAATTTTTCTCGTTCATATCATTTCCTTCTATCCATCCAAATATCCGAAGTTTGCTTATATTCATATTTATGATTACTGTTATTTTGATTGGTCCCTCGACACAATAGACAATCTTTTTGTCCCTTCTTTTCCCCCTTAAAATATTATATTTTTAAACGTCCAAAGTCTATAACTAAAAGCAAATTATCTGATGTTATACTTCAATAAATTAACTTCTTAGATTCATTTTATCTTTACCATATATATATATAACACTTGGAAATTTATAATTGATTATCCTTTGCAATTAATTGTGACTTCCATAGCATCATTCTAAATTATTGTTGCACACGAGTTTATACTAATATCAAGTTTTGCTGTGTATCCTGTTACATAGATTTACGTGTATTTATCCGAGTGCACTAAATTTTTTTGAAAATTAATGGTTTACTTTGGAGTCCAACATTTATTACTCTCTTATTATCGTAACTGAACCCCTTCACTAGATTTTCATTTAGTTTCGCTTTCGATTTTCCTTCTAAATATACATTATTCTTACGTTTCCGAAGTTTATAATTAAGACGATATCTTGTGCTACACTTAAATTAACATCTCAGATTCGTTTTATCCTCACTATAAATATAAGACTGACACATATTGATATGTAGCGTGGCGTCGAGTCCCAAGTGACTATGAACACCGCTACCAAGAAACACGTGCCAAATGACTCCATAAAATCATCCGGAAGCCAGATATTAGAAGGCAGTTAATGGACCAAGTCGAGATATATTTGCTGGCGATCTCGTGGTATCGAAAGGACACCGAGATCGTGTCAGGATACAAGCTTGGTTACAGAACGTAACCGAATCCGCGCGAGTTCACAATCAAAGAATGAGAATAATGGATGCTTTTTAGCACAGTTAAACAAAAGCACATTAAAACAGTCACTGGTACAATTGGTTATAATAATAATTGTTCTCAATAAACCAATCATGTTCTCGTGATAAAGGTGAGTCACTATAGATAGTTGACTATCGTTTGCGCTTGATTGAGACTTTTACGACATTACTCCAAACTATAACTGCACCAACACTTATTCAACGCCTAACTTACTGCAGTAATAAGTTGGTTTCTTATTTATTTTTTTAATCTATCATTTTATTTTTTATTCAGCTGGCGACACATAGTCGTTTATTATTGTTCTATGCTCACAAACACGCTTATCAAACTGTTCATGTATTTCGCGTCTTCTTCATTTTCATTTCTTCATATTTTTGTCTTCCTTCTTTAAAGTCAACTCAGTATTCTCAATTGCACGGAACCTGGTTTGTTATTATTTTATTATTCATTTATCTATTCTTTAAATATGACAAATATTATGCTTACAATATTGAAACCTTTGTATTATTGCGTTTCTGAGGAAACCCGAAATGGTTTCTTCACAACACTTATGTACCCATAAGCTGTTTGTGAACAATGATGATAATAATAATGATTGAAATATATATTTGTTGTGACAAGATTTAACAATGACTAGCACCATATCAGGATTAACATATTCTGAATATAGAGTTGAAAGTCAGTACCACTACATATTTAAGAGAGAAAGTCCAGATGATATAAACTTCACGTTTTAGTGGAAAATGTATGAAATAGCTATCATCAACAGATTGATATTAGGCCATTATATCTAACGCTTTCAATAGCCGACCTTATAGTGGCTATCAATCATATGAATTTTGGATTAATATACCTAAACAATAGGTAGACGTTAGTTCGTTACTACTACTGACTTTGAGTGTCACGAGCGCTTTGTAAGGTATTTTGGTACTTCACTGGGGCTGTGTTTTGATTAACACACTGGACATATACTTTGTGTCCGAAACTTAAAGTAAAATATAATGTGATCACAATTCACTAGTAGGAGAAGGTTCTGAATATCGGCGACATCGTCACAGTGGTGTGTGAGGTCAAGGTCTAGCAATGACGGGTCATATTCCAAGTCAACATGTGTCGGTATTACGATATATTGTATAAGTGCACATTGGATGTCGCTGTCGAGACCCGCACCTGAAGCTGTAAGTCCTGTTCAGTTGATATGCGGTGCATTTAATTATTCAATGATGAGACGACGGTTGGCCTTACTCCAGGAACAGATGTTTCTCAAGATAAAGTAGACAGCAAGGCAGTAGAGATTATGATATGTTCTTCCTATAGTCACTAATCCGTTTCGTTACTTAATTGTACAGTATCCCTCTTCACATGTACCACTAACATGTGAAGATGGCACAGGTATTCAGTGTTTGACAACGCTTTAACCAGTAACACCTAATATAACTCGTAACCACCAAGAGAAATCTAAAGACAGAATCGGGGAGATCAAAAGACATATTTGTTGACTGTCAATATATCGAGAATCGTCTGATCTAATCTGGCTAGCGATTGCAGTAGATGTTGAGCATGGCGTTCCCACACGTGATCTGGTGCGGATGCATGACCGAGCGCCTTCAGCTAGGTAAGTCCACTAAAACATGTGGTCAGCATCCAATGTCGAAAACTTACAGGGCTTTTTATTTTGGGGATTTATTTACCGCTACAATGCGCCTCCAATATAACTGATTGTATGCGAAAGTGATCCCTAACATATAATATTAGGCCTCTCCCCTTGCGACTCATAACTCCGCTTGTAATACAGATGTAGCCTGCAAGAATAGTTGGAAGAATAGTCTGCATCTACGATGCGTAAATATTTTGCAATAGCAATTATATCGGGACTTGATTCAAAAGACATCAAACTCATCTCGAGTTTGTTGTTTCGAATATTTCGGGCGTCCGTGCAGCACAGACTTAAGGTGTCTTGGTAATCACTCGTTCTAACCATATGGGTCTCGGAAGCATTGGACTCCATCACCTGACTACCCGAAAACCCTTAATCATAAGGTTCGTCTCGCCACTTAGCGTTTGGGTTCTTCCGCCTGATTTGATCCTCAAGCGGCCAATCTGGCCGGATGCGAATATATGAACAACGAGTTTTGTATGCGTTATTTAATATTACATATCTCCGAAATTCCCGGGTACCATCATTATACTCCGTTTCGGTTTGGTCTAGCCTCTAACACATCTAGCGCTTCCTATTACTTTCGTGGTGTTTACCCCTGAATCCTCTTCAGGCGGCACACCTTTGATGACAGATTCCACCAACTCCAGGTAGCGTGCATGTCTTCTAGCAGGGTCATCGTCCTTCAACTCCTTTAGATCCCACATAATCTAACTAGGAACGTGTTCAATTTCTTTGGAAGTCATGTTCACGGCTTTCGATCATGGTGTCAACTCCTACCTGTTAATTGCTGGCATTTTACCTTTAGTTTCCCCTGTAACAAAGTCGTGGGAGACAAGAGAATGACTCAACACGATGTTTGATACGGTTAAACTTTTCCCATCTACGATAGGGTTAAATATTGTCTTAACTTGGAATTTTGGCGGAGTAATCTGATACGTAGAATGTAGGTCCACCAAGGACCTTTCGATTAGATGGGCGTTGTTTTTGCTGTCTTTGCTTCTCTTCTACGTTTCCGAGTCGTCCATTCTCCATCGTTCGCTGCTGTAGCAACTTGGCCACCAGTATATAAAGGTATATCGCTCATTAATTGTTTCGGCATAGAAATCCTTATTGCATGTTGCGCAATAGGATGTTTGGCACGTGTCGTAATGGCATTTACGACACTGATAAAATATTCGCTATCAATACCCATGTAAAAAACACAACCCTCATCAGCTTTTTGGATAATCAATGCCAGAAGGATAATTGTTTCCTGGATTAGTAATGTTCTGCTCGAACAACACAACACACCGAGCCAATGAAAGTTAGGCTTTGAGCACCTTTTATAGGCAGTTGGACTTAAGCGTGTACATATCCCGTGGAACTACTTCTTACACTCATCATATTGCATTTCTTCTTCCACAGGGAAACAGCAGTACGGCTGCCCACATTTGTGGGCAGAGCCGACCATCGTAAAACTTAACTAAAAATGGTGACACAAAAATGGACATGTAAAAGAATCTCCAACCTTAACCGAATAAATCAAGTCAAAATCGACCAAGTATGCTTTAATGCAAAATCAAAACACACAAGTACAATATCACTTTAAGTGAAATAAATTCAATCAAAGTGCAAACAATAGTATTGATGTGAAATTTTGCGATCGAAACAGTAAATTTAACTTAACGAGAAATAATACCATTATCCTTTTTAAATAGCGCGCTTTCCAAGTCACTCGAATTATCATTTTATTATTTTCATATTACAATCAATCAACCACCTACCTGGTAATATGATAGTTGTTGGTATCCAGGACTCTTACTGCCCTGAGACAAACGCGCTCAATCAAACTACAAGATATAAAAGTCCACAAATCACTACCAGACTGATTCGAACTAGTAGATTTGGGTGGTTAGACTACTAACTACTGAACATTGCCAAATACTTGGAACCTCGCCGGACTAACAATATACGAGCGCAAAGAAGTCAATCGGCTTATACAAGCTCGCGACAAAAATCTTAGAGATATTGGAAATGAGTGATAGCAAATGAAATTTGAAGTTTATAAACTTCAACCCTATAGGGTTGTGGCGCTGGCGTATGTTTGGTTTAACTAAGGTAGAAAGTTCGTTACTGAAATGTGCGTTTGTTTTGAGGTCGATCTTTGCGTTAATAATAGTAAGTGAATATTATTTCCTTCCATAAGACGCATTTAGTCTTTCAGTAGTCTTCTTCCTGATCATGCTGCTGACGCTTTTAAACCCCCGGAGGAACCTTATGCTGGATGGGTGGATAAGATTACCCGAATATTCTTTCAGGGGTTTTGCAAATGGGATTGCATTTATTTCACTTTTATCGCAAACTACGGTTATATCTTTGAAAATAGCCTTGTCTTTCTCCCTGGTTTTCCCATGTTACTAGGCTTATTAGGTCGTTTGGCTTTAAGAGTTAGTGTACATTCTCTGAGTTTATCTTCTTCAATCCTTTTATGTGGATTTTTGTCAAACTTTGTTTTAAATCTAGCCTCCGCAGTTTTTTTATATCGCCTAGGAGTTATGATACTGGGTTCTGTAAAAGTTAGTTTTCTTGCTTCGTTACTATTTTGTTGTAATCCAGCTACAGTGTTCTTTTCATCACTTTACTCTGAGTCATTGTTTTTCTTTTTTACAATTTCTGGGTTATATTTTATGTATGTCAACAAGATCTTATTGTCTTCTTTGTTAATCGCGTTTTCTGTTATGTGCAGAAGCAATGGGTTGCTAAACATAGGATATTTAGGTTACTTCATGGTCGTTCGTTCAAACTTCCGGGTGTTAATATGGATAGATGAAGTTCACAAAACCAGAAAGTCCCTCATATCTTTCTTGCTCTTGTCCATCAAGTGGTGGGTCAACGTTGTTGTTTTCTTCATGCCACGCCTTGTATTACTCTTTTTATGCTCTCTCCCTTTTTTATTGTATCAAACCTACGGTTACTTTTTATATTGTTCTCGCGTGCAATCGTCTGACACTGTATTTCCGTCAAAAATTCCTGTACCACTGCTTACCTATGGCCTGGATCATGGCTTCTCAATACCAGTTCGCCTTACAAACGAATCTAGTTCTTCTCACTTACCAGTTTGGTGTTCGTTTGCACCTCCATTCTCATATTCTCATATACAAAAGAGTCAGTGGAATGTTGGCTTGTGGGAATATTACCAGCTACGGCAAATTCCAAATTTTATTCTGTCCTTACCCGTAGTTACTTTATGCTTTATATGTGCGATTATGTTTTACCGAAGAGCCCCAAAAGCATATAGAACCTTTGGGCTATGTGCAGAATGCGAAATGGACCGTATCATGGTGCCGTATGTGTTTCATATGCTGTTTTTGTGCTCTTACGGGGTTCTCCACATAAATGTTCAAGTGAGTTGTGCTTTTAATTTAAATTTTTTACAAACATCTTGACATTTGGCATCACTATATTTGTGATTGTTTTGGTTATTTATCTAATTCAGTTATTTAAACATCTACTATATGTTCTTTAATGCGGATAGAATTTTTCGCCAAGCATTCGTAACTTGATATTGAATGAGATTCGCAAATATCATTCCGCTCATTACTTCCAGCGGAAATTTTTGTGGGTAGCTGATTATTCTTACCAATATGGCTCATTTGACAGTCATAAAGTTACTCGAGTTTTATAATTAAGTAAACAATGTTATGCGCTTGTTATCGAAGTATTTTATGATTTCGAAATATGTTAGAGTACTTACTGGCAAGTAAATTTTTACCGAAGAGTACTTTCAGTTATTAAAGTTTGTTTAATTATATCACTTGACCTAATGAATTAAAAAAAGTTGTGCTACCGAAACTAGTAATTCATTGTGTCTAGTAGATTCAGTACCCTGGAGGTGATTGGGCTTTATAGTATGGTTATTGGTCAGTTAAGACGAAATATCGAACGATTGGTTCTATCATTTCTGCCTTAGAGTTCAAACTTCGCACCAACTATCTTTCAGATGTCCATATAACACTAAGGCTAATGATGTTAGTAGCTCATATTTTAGCTCATAGAATTGTTTAGGGTTGTGGAGATTATTGAGTTTTGTTGAAATCATGAACCAATCAATGCTAAATCACCGTTGAGAACCTCAAAGCACTGGACGGTTGTTCCGTCCTAGTACAGGACTCCTCATTAGCGGGTATGCACCACCCTGCATGTGTCAATCGAACCCAAAACCTTCAGTCTCGCACGCAAACGCTTAATCACTAGGTCACTGAGCGGGCATCCAATGGTGTTGATGTCTAACTCCAATCAATCCGCGATATTGCTCAATGATCTGCTGTCTTCGGTGAGTAACTGATCCCCACAATCATATACTGATAATTATATGCTTATTAGCAACTAGTTCCTGTAGGAAAATTTTCAGGGTCCTAGTGAAAAGCTGTGGCCATTGGAGTTCAACCTTGTCCAGTATGGGGCACTTGTCCACCGAAGACAATGGGAGATCATTGCGCAATATCGCGGATTGATTGGAGTTAGACATCAACACCGTTGGATGTCCGCTCAGTGGCCTAGTGAATAAGCGTTTGCGTGCGAAACTTAAGGTTTGGAGTTTGATTGTCACATGCAGGGTCGTGGATACTCGCTAGTGAGGAGTCCAACTGCGAATCACGATCATTTTGTAAACCAAAACCAAGGACCTTACACCTTTATACTTAGCTCAAAATGACAGTTATAAACTGTGAACATGTATCGGGTTTTAGTTTGCATGCTTTTGGCTGTTATTCATGCCCCTTTCTTTTTTCCTCTTTCCAAATTTATTTCACTGGATTATACTCCATGAATAACATCTTCAAACCCTAATGCTTCCGATTACTGCTTATACTTTTACTACCTCTCCCACTATGGGATTTGAGTCGGCGACTACATCTCTGTGCTAATGTGGTATGGCAACTTGAACTGATCTATGTACGTACGAAGTTCTATGTTGTTACTGACTGACTGATGATCAAAACCTAACAACCTATGCCATGTACCCTTGCCGTCGTAGACCAATAGTGGGCGAGCTGCTGTTCAGTATAACCACTTTGACAGTCAGATAAATATCTCATCCTCCCTTCAGGTAATGCAAATCGACAAAACCCGAGCGTGGTAAGATTCTATCAGCTGCTAACCCATCGAAGCTGATAGTATGAAATGGTTAAAGTGTTTAGTATGTTCTATTCCGCTACCCGAAATAAAGGTAACGGTTATTTTGTTTATTTATTTTTAACCATAATCCTTAACTGGAAAGTGCAATTAGTTGATCAGGTCACTTGTAAAGCGTATATAAGTGGTTATATTTACTTGTACATATATCAACCAAATAGTTTTTCACTACTTTCATTGAATAACTCACATTCGCAACTCCTATATATTCATTCTCACTTATTTTTCTGTTTCATAGGTGTTAACACGTATGATATTTTCATCTTGTCCTGTTATCTATTGGTTTTGTGCATATCTTCTTTGTGAAACGTTGCCCAATTTCGAGCCATTAATAATGAATAAACACAATAGTAATTCTCTGATCAATATTAGATTTGAATTGTATCATTATTTAGTAGATATTTATAAAGCATTAAATCCTTTTCAATATCATTTAGTTAAACATCGTATTGTGCTTTGTTATTTCTTAAGTTATGCTATTATAGGCTGTATTTTACATCCTAATTTTTTACCATGGACATAGTACCCCCCCCGCCTTTTTTTTCTCTTTTTGTGTTTTCTAATAAGATTAATCATTATAATAAATAAAATGGTTTAAAGTTTTAATTAACCAGTATCTTGTGGTCAATTGTTAGATTTTTCCTGTAGATTGGTAAGACAATTTGTTTATATTTAGTGTCTGTTTACTGTCAAATGGTACATGGTGTATTTTGTATGTATGTATATGTGTGTTTATGTGAGTTGGCAACCTTTTCTTTCTTGTATCAGATTGGATTTTTATTATCAACCGATTACATAACCTTGTCTTTAAATCTGTTATATCTTTTACTCTTGTTGGTCTTCTAACTCTACTGTTTTAAAGAAAATACTGTTAAACTGAACAATAGCCATTCAGTCAGTCAGTAATTCAGTAACAATGTAGAACTTCGTACGTACGTACGTATGTACATCAGTCCGAGTTGCCACACCACAATAGACATTCATTTGGTACTGATGATTTTTATTTTTAACTACAAAACTTATGGATTAATGTAATGCTTTGATAAAGAACTAATTGAAGAGAAATTGAAAAGAATCCAGAATAGAGGAGGTGATGTTGCAGTTGCTAATAGTCGGATTTCCAGAAAGAATTATGGAATTGTGATGAAGATAGTAAATTATTCTATATTTAGAACTCAAATTAAATAAGTATTTGAACACTAATAAGACTATATAAGCGTGAAAACTTAAAAGGGTTATTCGATTACAATCATAGTCACCATGGCAGAGAAAGGTTCACCGCTTTATTAATTATTTTGAATGTATGGCTAAATTTGATTTTGTGTCCATCAGGACCCTGACGATTGAACTTGTTTAGAGTTTACTGACTATCAGACAGGTCCCTTGGAATGTGTTTAAGCTTCTACCGAAGTTTATGAACACGTATCTTTATAATCGAATGATCTTTTTAAGTTTTCTGTCTTGCATGATATCGTTGATGCTCAAATATAAATTCGACATGTTCCAACTACACAATTGTACAATAATTTACTATTTCCACTACAACTGTATAGTCTTTTTATAAAAAAAAGTCTGATTATTAGAAACTATGGCACTACCCCCTTTATTTTGTATTATTATTGTTATTACTATTAATATGTAGATATTCGTTAACCTTAACTATGTTCAATCAAATATATCATATCTTGTTCTTTTGCCTATGAATTTTGATTCTGTTTTGAATATTCATCTACACTTCCCTGACTACAGTATGTTAAGCCATCATTATAATCATATTACTCCTTGTAGCGAAAAGCCAGGAAGTAAAATGGATTCATTTTATTCTGCAGATTCTATTTGTGCACTGTTTAACAAAATATTGACTAGTTAAATGATTACCCTACTCACATATTTAAATTGTTTCAACATAAGGTCACTCTTTTCACTTCTGACTGATCGGATGATATAGACAGTTTTTAATCAGTCAGCCAGTCAGTAACAACGTAGAACTTCGTACGTACGTACATCAGTTCGAGTTGCCACACCACCTTAGCACAGTTTTTAATGCATAATACCCAATAATGCTTGGTGTTGCACCGCTTCCCCACAGGTCTATTAATTTCGATAGTTATCCACACTACCAGCCAGTCATAGGCAACATTGAACCAAGCACATATACATCGGTCTTTTTTTTTACACTACATCATCAAAGCACGATAAAATTATCAAGATAAATGCCGGAGTTTTAGAAGGAATAAGAAACACTAGACGTAAGCAATATAATGCTTGGAGGAAGAATGATTTCTCGGCATAAAAATAATAAGTATTTTAAGATAGTGATACCATACTCACCATTGTGACTGGTTCTGAACCATGTCATCCAACGTTTCGAACCATTGATTACAAGGACCTCATTCAAATAACCTGCACCTACCAACACGACTGTATTGAACAGTTAATGACTTGATAGACTAGTATCATTTCTTAGTATATCTGCTCCTAGCTTTGTTCCGACGTTATCCTTTACCAACTATGGCCGCATTTCGAAGTAAAACTTTTCAACAAACGTTTTACTTTTGTATCCCAATAAACTATATGTATGAAACAGTGAATTATTAAAATTTTTAGTTCTTTTTAGCATTCGCGATATGTTTTCCGAAAAGAAGTGGTATAATATTATGACCAGTAAGTGTGTGAACTGAACTACTAAATGCTTTTGGGGAGAAATACAAAAAGTTGATCAAATATTGAGAGGTGTTTATGGAGGTTATATACTAGATCAGACGTTTCAGTGGAGATCGTGAAGATTGTAACATGATAAAAGACCAAGATGACAGTCGATCGTCTGTGTTGGTGATAATAAGTTTGTCATACTTTCTATTTGCCGTATTATTGTGTGAATATTTGATTATGAACTAGGTGTGAGGAAATCGTATTTGTATGACAGTTACAGGAAAAAATGAGGCAGCTGAAAATGGCGATTTAATAAGTATACTGCCGTTTAATGGGGGATTTGGAAGTCGATAAAATTCATATCTCTAAAATTACGATCTAACTTCTTATTTAACTTAACAGAATACATACTGCCATATGATAATTTTTAATTGTTTTGTATAGAAATGATAATTCAACTTGAGCCTATACCTGAATTCTATACAGATTTAAACTAGCTGTCACAAATGACCGTTTTTTTTTCTTGCTAATTAGTGTGGTCACATCAATTAACGAATATTATGTTCGATTATTATGCCATCCAGAGGCTTAAATCAGTCAATGTTTTATCATTTTAATTAACCCCGTTAAGTATCCTGATTTGTGAATTATTTCCTTAATCAATATTTCGATTCATTCCTGTCGGTGTTAAGAGGTTGACAGTTTTGTCGAATATTTTACGTTCACTTGGCCTTTATTTGGTAACTATGCTAACCAACTGTCTGTAAACCTAATTTCTATATATACCATGAAATGATTAATTGAACTTCAGGAAGTAACAAATCAACCATTCGTTGAATAAACTTTGATTTTCGTCATATATATCAGTCTATCATGTATACACGTATGTGTAGTATGATTACGTTATATGCAAATAAGCTGGTTATACAATAATTTAGCGTTAATAAATTTGCTTAAAAAGTCTAATTCATCAGTATTGATGATTCAGTACATATAAATGATCAATAGTATTTACTGGACATCTTCAGTAGGTGGTCAGGGAATGAATAAAATCTATACCTCTTGAACATTAAATGTTCATACAGTTAAACGTTCAACTGATCGGAATAATCAATTTTCTTATGTAAATTACAATATGTCAAGTATCAGTATTATAAATCTATATCTGTCTTGTTGAATTATTTATTAATAGAAGATAAACATCAGGTAAATCTGGCTGACGAGTCCCAAGCGGGACGAAGTGCGCGTCCTGGATTCCGCCTACTTACGCCTATTAATCCTGGTAAAGGAGCCTAGGCCGCCCACTAACACTCTCCATTCAACCCTGTTCTGGGAAATCCTTTCCAGTTGTTAGTCATCCTTTTCATATCTGATTCTATTTCCCGAAGTAATGTGTTCTTTGGCCTTCCTTTTTTCCACTTCCCTTCAGGATTCCAAGTTAAGGCTTGTCTCGTGATGCAGTTTGATGATTTCCGTAATGTATATCCAATTCATTTCCATCGTCTTTTCCTAATTTCCTCTTCAGTTGAAAGTTGATTTGCTCTCTCCCACAGTAGGTGGTTGCTGATGGTATCCGACCAATGGGTGTTGATTATCTTGGGTAGACAACTATTTATAATTACTTGTACCATCTTCATGATGGTTGTAGTAATTCTCCAAGTTTCAGCTCTATCTGGATTCCATTGCTAGCCACTAAACCATCTTTGCTTATAATGCTTGTGAATGAAAGCAATCCACACAGGATGCATATATACCAACATGAGACTGATCAATGGAACGATTCAAACAAACAACATCAAATGAAATGAAAGAAAAACAATGTTTTAAAAAAAATCTAAGGTCTTTTTCTTATACATATATTCTTATTCAATTATGCTCATAGTATCTATCCCCTTGTCTCCTGTCCTCTCCTCTTCTCTACACGACAACCATCTCCATCCTCACTTTTTCAAAATACATAAATAAAACAAGCAATCTTAATTGATCATTACAACAATAAGCGATAATAATTAAGATAAGATTTTAGTAAAATCTTGTTAGTTTTCGTTTGTTCTTGTTGTTGTTGTTGTTGTGGTTTCTTTTTTTTTTTACATTTTTTAACGGATACACAAATTCATTTTCAATGTAAATAATTAAAATGTATATGAATTAGAATAGAAATAAATTCTGATTGAAATCTTTATCTACTCTCTCTCTCTCTCTCTCTCTCTCTCTCTCTCTCTCTCTCTCCTTTATCTTTACATATTTTCTTTTATATTTCAATAAAAAATAGTTGAATTTATAATAGTAATTATTATTACTACTCATGAGTAGTATTGAAATGAAATGTGTAATAGTGTATTGTAGTGTATAAATTATAATAGAATTATGTTTACAGTATATTCTGTATTTATAATAAACATTGTTCATTGATCATTTAATTGTAAAAGAGAAAACAAACAAACTGAAAACAATCCAACAATCTAAGTTGAATAATGGTAATAGTTTGATAGTTTTTCATTTTGGACAAAAACAATAGAAGAAGAAGAAGAAGAAGAAGAAACAGGAAAAAAAAGTGCTTGTCAACAACTTTGTAAATGAAACCGAATTATGGAGAAAGTTTAAAAGGAAAAGAAAAGAAGACAACGAAATGATGACGGTTAAGTCATAATTAGAAGAAGAAGAAGAAGAGAAAGGAAAAGGAGACAAAGAAAAAAGAGAAAAACAAATCTGATCAACACAAAATGAAATTCAATTTAGAATTAAATGCATCAAATCTGAAACAAAGATTTTTTGTATATTTATATATGTCGATGTATAATGTTTAATTATGTATATAGAAGAATGTTGAATATTCCTTGGATCTATTTATTCACATGTACTTTTCGTGCAGAAAATGCGGACACTAATCCCCCCTCTCTCTCTCCGTATATATATATACTATAGAATAGAATAGAGGTCCATCCTTTCTGCCAATTTTTCATATAATCTGAATCAATTAAGTGTACAATGTTTACATTGTTATTATAGTATGATTATATAACATTTCATGCATAATGCAGGAGGGGGGGAGGGGTCGAGGGGTAGGGATAAGGGAGAAATTAATCAGTCAATTATTCTAATTGTTTACAAATACTGATATATGGAGTTTAACAAATTGTTTTTATACACAATTTGAATACTCTTTTATTATGCTAATATCACAAATGTATAATAATTCTTCTCTTTGATAAGTTTGTTTATTCTGCTCTGTAATAGGAAATCTATTATGAATCATATAGGTGATATATATATATATATATAAAAGGGGTATTTCAATCCAATGAATATAATAATCATTTTCATATTCAAATGTTTTGGATAATCACATAAACTGGAAGTTTATTTCTTCCATGCTTGATTAAAACGATTTTTAATTTTTGATAAATTTCCTGATGATGAATTACTATAAGTTGGTAGTGTTTTTGTCATTGTTGTTGTTGTTGTTGTAGTTACACTATTTATACTACTATTAATAATATTCGTAAAATGAGTAGTATGAGTGTTAGTAGTAGTAGTAGCAGTAGTAGTAGAAGCAGCAGTAGTAGTAGTTATTGTTGTAATGATACTAGGTGACATAATTGTTGTTGTTGTTGTTGTTGTTGTTGTGCTTTCATTCGATGATAATCTAGATTTTTGTTTAATATCTGTGGAAATCTTATATGAATAAAGATTTTTCACAAGATTTGATTTGATTAAAGTTGTTTCATTTGAAATAAAATCAGATTGATTTGTACAGGAACTTTCTAATAAAGGTGATAATGAACTATTTAATATTGTTGTATTATTATTCATAAGATTTGGCATTTTATCATCATCATTCATTATGCTTAATGATTGATCTAATGAAGTTTGATGATTTTGTATTAGATGATCTTCAATTATTGGCTTATTCGTTAAAGGAATTTCTATACTTAATTCATTAGTTAATTGATCTTTATCAGAATAAGTTGGTGAACAATGTGAATCAATTAGATTAGTTATATTGGATTTGATTAAAAGACCAGTAGATTGACTAGATTCTTTTGCTTGTTTTATCCATTCATTTGATTCATTTAATAATAATGTCATTAGTTCAGTTTGTCCTGTTAATAAACGTAAATTCCATGTTACATTATCAGCTACACGTGACATACGTCGCCAATAGATTGAGGTACCACTAGTAGTTGTTTTATTATTTCGATTATCTGTATTATCTTCTATAATTTGTGGAGTTACACGTTGGCTAATTTCTGATGTTAAACTACCAAAACGTGTTTCATGACTATGAGATATTGAACTCCTTAATGATGTAGTGGCTGCTGCCGCTGATGATGTTAATTTTGAAATGGCAGTAGCATGAGATGATGGCGCTTTTAAACCTTCTAAAAAAGTAGTATATGCGTCTAAGGCAGTTCTTTGAGTTTGTTGTAACTAGAATTTATGTAATTAAGGAAAAAAGATGTAAAATATTCAGTTGATAAAAGTATTTATTAGTGGAAAGGATCAATTTTATAAGTTAAATAATCAGTTTCATAGTTTACCTTCCAGGATTTAGACATAGATCAGTCTTAAAACAATATGGCGTGAAGTAGCAGTTCCCATATTTACTAGAAATAATCAGAGGGAAGTATTTGTAATCACTCAAAATAGCATTACTTATCTTATACTCTAACTATTGAGCTTCAGTTAATTACTACTGCAGTCACTAGGGCGGCCTGCTTGAGCATCTGGGCTACCTGTTCCTGCCATCTAGATATTTCAACAAGTTATCTATTGTTGTTTGTTTTAATATATCATTATGTTTATTAATCGCATAACCTATTCTGCTGCGTTTCTGAAAAGTGTACAACCTTTCGTTGTCAAAGTTACAGAAAACTCAATAAGAGACAATATGGTTGCTGGCAATGTACAACGAAAAGAGTGTACATCGTTCATATGTTTATTTACTGAAGTGCTAACATCTAACTGGCGATCACTCAATATTTATCGCCAGGACCGACCAAGAAGAAAGAAACGGAAACTTGTTGAAATACTTTGCGCTGAGAATTCTATATTGTACCAAAATTATAATATTGAATAAAGCTAATAATAATAATAATAATAATAATAATAATAATAATAATAATAATAATAATAATAATAATAATAATAATAATAATAATAATAATAATAATAATAATAATAATAATAAAAATAATAATAATAATAATAATAATAATAATAATAATAATAATAATAATAATAATAATAATAATAATAATAATAATAATAATAATAATAATAATAATAATAATAATAATAATAATAATAATAATAATAATAATAATAATAATAATAATAATAATAATAATAATAATAATAATAATAATAATAATAATAATAATAATATAATAATAATAATAATAATAATAATAATAATAATAATATAATAATAATAATAATAATAATAATAATAATAATAATAATAATAAAATAATAATAATAATAATAATAATAATAATAATAATAATAATAATAATAATAATAATAATAATAATAATAATAATAATAATAATAATAATAATAATAATATAATAATAATAATAAAATAATATAATAATAATAATAATAATAATAATAATATAATAATAATAATAATAATAATAATAATAATAATAATAATAATAATAATAATAATAATAATAATAATAATAATAATAATAATAATAATAATAATAATAATAATAATAATAATAATAAATAATAATAATAATAATAATAATAATAATAATAATAATAATAATAATAATAATAATAATAATAATAATAATAATAATAATAATAATAATAATAATAATAATAATAATAATAATAATAATAATAATAATAATAATAATAGTTATCTTGTAGCCAAGTTCACTCAGTCTCAATTAGATGAGTATCTGTTGTTCGCATTGGAACTAAGTCAAAATCAAGCAAAAATGAAATGTATTATAAAAGTCATACTGGATATTAGTATAATGATCGTTTCAGGAAGCTATAATCAACGGTGATGTATATCAGTTAGCCTATCGCACTGCATTGTTCTCCACTTAATTTCACGTCAGGATATCCTAACTCTAGAAAGTATAAAAGATCATAGTAGGTGGTTGAATCTTAACTATTGATATAGAATTACCTTGGAACAGAAAAATTCAAGGAATCTAACCAAACAGATTCTAGGGTGAGACTATAATTTATGGACGGCCTTTGAGCGACTCTAGACTGACCTTGAGAGTGTCTACCTGATAACGAGGACCAAATGAAGGTTATAAATTAATGTGAGGAATTATAATGATAATTTACAGTTGATAATTAAGGTTAGAAATTAGATTTAGGGTTTTCATCACCAATCGACATCAGTTATAATGCCAGAACACCATTTACCAAATGGATGAATGAATTCCGCGCAAAAATCCGAGACCTGTTATCTTATACCTGATTGATTCGTCCATAAATTATAGTCTTGCCCACTTCATCAATTAAAAAATAAACAAAATAATCAATATTATTAGTTTGTTCAATCAAGAACGACAAATATTATTGGCTGACGTGACTTCATTCTGTTTGCTATGCTCTAACTCTTCTAAACATGCATCAAATCTGAATAGATCAATAAAGTGTTTCCTAAACGTAACGTTGAATATTAAATACATAAGATGATTTGGTTTAATAATGGAAAATAATTCATCTTATGCCAGAGCGTTTGTTTTATTAGCGTTTATTTAAGAAACTAGTAGTATCAAGTCCTAATTTTCTTTAGTTCATCAGTTACTTTTGTCTTAATATGTTCTTGAAATTCAAATAAACAGTCGTAACTGGTGGAGATCAGACATATTAAGAGTGAAACATTTGTTCACAGTGAACGTCAATGCAGCTGTTTTAATGATGAATGATTCTCCACTAGACCTAATGGTCTTCAATCCCAGCCTCGGTAAAGTCATAGGTGCTCACTGCTGAGTAGTCTCGTACTGGAATGAAACAGCTATACATTACTGCAGAAGGTCGGTCGCGGTCCGAATAACCCAGTAGTGACGTCTCTGAGTGTGTGACACGGGATCGAATACGTCAGGGAGCACCAGTTCCCTCAAGACTACAGGTACACCTTGCTGACGAGTGCCAAGTAGAACGAAACACGAGTCCAGGATTTCCTGTTTACTACGTTTAACCACCATCTAAGCTATACATTACCCTCTGGTTTATAATGGTATCTCGACTGGAATTAGTTTGTGATCAATACAACCTACAAACTGTCGGACTTATCATTTACATTGTAGGTTCAGTGGAGTTAAAATATGAAACATTAGATATCTACTCGGTAGCTGAAAAGTTAAATGCCCACCTTGAGGCCTGGAAGTACTATACTTTTATCTCTGATCAGATCGTATGTATGCATTACTGAAGAGGCCTGATTTAAGTCGAAACCACTGCTTAATTCTTCTTGAATTTTCTAATCACTTTCTCAACAGGTCTCACTTTAATATTAATAACTAATTTTAACAAATAGTAGTTATAATTAAGTATAGAAAATAACATACTTTTACTCGAAGATATGGTCCTTGTTTAATCAGTGTTTTACAAGATTCAATAAGCTAAAAACAAAAACAAAAGACATTGAGATGGTGGAGAAGATTTGTAGCTCAGGTGGATGATTTTGATGGAGTTTTGTTCTCTGAGCTGGATGGTTTGGTCGTGGAGCTTTCATCGTTCCACGACCAAACCATGCAGCTCAGAGAACAAAACTCCAACAAAAGACATTTGAAATAAACAAACAAAAATCAACTATACAAAGTAAATATTTTATTTGTGAAGTGTTCAATTCAGTCAGTCAGCTACAATGTAGGACCAGGCACATATATACTTCAGTCCAAGTTGTCATACCTCATTAACACAGCAAGACTAACATCGGATTCATAAAAGTAGTTAATTCAGAAGTGGTAATATATAAGAGAAAAAATGTGTATAAGGATATATATATAGTACAGGAAGAAATAATTAGTTTGTAGAAAAAAAGATATGAAGCGATTTTAATTTCATAGTTTAAGAGAAGACAAAGAGTATATACACCTACACCATTATGGCCGATTCTGAGCCATGTCACCAAGAGTCTCCAACCATTGGTTACGATAGTCACGCGGACCCCAATCAAGTTGTCTGCATCTACCAACATGGCTCAGACTAGAAGTTAGTGACTTCAAGCACTGATGCCACGTTTTGGTTTGACCTTCTCTAATATTCTTCTAACCATCAACAACGGTTAGCATTGCGCATCGTGGTAATCGGTGTTCAGGCATATGTAACGCGTGGCCCAACCATCTCAATCGATGGAGATTCATAACCTCATCAACTGATTTACCATTATTCCCTAATACCCTGTGTCTAACCTCACTATTACTGACCCGCTGATGCCAGCAATATTTCTAAGACATCTGTGATCAAATACTAGTAGCTTACCAGTATCCTCTACTCTTAATGGCCATGTTTCGCTGCCGTAAATTAAAACAGAACGGACTGCCGCTCAGTATACTCGTGCTTTTATTGATAGACGGATATCTCGCAATCTCCACAGGTGACGTAAGTTGGCAAAAGCCAAACGAGCTTCTCGAATCCGTGCTTTGTTGACACAGGCCAGTTCTGATTCAATGACATTCATTTAGAGTGGGAGAAGCGCATTCCAAACATTCTGGCATTGTTGTTTAGTGCTATCAAAAGACTGTGCAGTTTATCAGTGTCTTCAACAAACAGAACTATGTCATCTGCGTATTGTAAGCCGATAAGTGGACCTCCTGGTAGGAGATCAATACCCGGGAATTCAGTCGACGAGAGCGTTATTTCCATATGTATGTCTATGATGAAGTTAAACAAAAATGGATAAAGTAGACAGCCTTGACGGACACCACTTGAGATTGCAAAAGCAGATGACAGTTCGCCATAAGCTCTGACTCAACTGGTAACGTTCGAGTAAAGAGTCTTCACAAGGTTAATATACTTCTGAGGTACGCCTTTCAATGACAGACACTGCCACAGGATCTTGCGGTCTACGGAGTCAATTCAAGCATTATAAGATTTATTTCATAGATGAAGGGGGGGGGGTAAGCTAATTTCGAAGATAACACTTTTTAAATTTTTTTGGTATCAACAAGTAACCAATCCAAATGATTGTTAGTCACATTGTCGGAAAATATTTTTTTATTTTATTTTACAATGAAACAAAGAAAAGTTACTTGAATTTCTAAGTGAACATACTTTTATAGTTAATGGCTATAAACAACACAATGAATTGAAATGATTCTAAATAATCAGTAATTGTATTCACATAACGTAATTTTCATAATTTGTATCATGGACTGTGATCTCAGTTATGGGAAGAAAAAGTAAAGGTCAAGAAATAACGAATAGCTGTCTAGTTCTAGTATGGAACTTCTTAACACTATCCTACTAAGGATCTTTGAATTTCATGGTATGCATCTAACCTTTATTATTTATTTGTATACATAAATATCGGTTCAAAGGAATACACAATTCACTTGGTCTGTGCCTGGGTGCCCAACTCGAAGCAGCTGCTTTTCTTAGGGGGCTTTCGACCTAAAGGTATGATCCACGAGACGGTGGAGAATCGTAAGGAGATGCAGTCACATGGTAGCCGTTGACCAACAATTGGTTCATACGCCATTTGTTCCTTCAGGATACTGGAGCCCATGTGCACCATTGGTTTGGAATGAGGGTTTTCCAACTCCCCTTGTTGGACTCTGTATCCACCGACTCGGCCAAAGCGTCGGACATTCACTTTTCGTTCTCTCTCTTCTGATGCGAGAAGGCAGTGAGTAGGACTTCCCTGTCAGTGGCTATATACGCGTGGTTATGTGGGAGCATTTCGAGATGAAGATCTAACTCTCCCCACTCTCAACCTTACAAGGGCATTTAGGGGCACTTAATCTTCATACTACTAAGTATTCAGTACTTATATGTCTAACTTCAAACAGTTTACGACATCATATAACCATCTTTCAACACCCGATACTAAGTTCACTGGTTATTATCCGTCCGCTCTTAGAGAAATCATAATATATCTGATCAGTAATGCAAGTTGAATAGGAAGTAATTAATTTCACACTGCAGTTTTCAATGCTGTTTATAAACCGTCAATGAAGGTATTTCACTATGTTTATCAAGAAAAAAGTGTTTCAAAAGAATTTATGCATATGGAAAAGTGATGAGTAACAACAAACAGTAGATTTTCAAAGGACAATATGGGATTTGTTATGTTTTTCTTTTATGACTTTTTCTTCTTAAATATCTAAGTGATTTCAGTATATCTTCAATTTAACATATAACGAGGATAATATTACAATCATTGTGGAAGGAATCGT